GGAACAAAAGAAACGCTTCTCAAAGTGGCATAGGTGTACATGCCAAAATGACGTAAACGTATTTACCTCCTTGCCCTGGCGTTACACGTACATAATTTTTTATGTACGCATAAATGTACGTGAACGTAAAAAAAAAAAACCATCATCAACATCTCATTGCGCAAAAGAAAAAAAAAAGGGAGAAATCAAGCTGTGACTACATTTTTTTTTTTATTTTTTTGATATGGCTTCTTCCCATGCAGCGTACTTCGTGATACATTAAGTCCATTCCTCATTTATGTCGCTTCCTTGAAATGCAAAAATAAGTGCCTGTTATTTTTTACTTTTCCGCCAAGTCTTCCTTTCGTTTTCTACTCCCTTTCCTTTTTTTTTCCCCCTCCCCCCGGGAGAATTCCCAATCGACGAAATCGCTTTTTTTCCGCATGATTTACGCCATTGCATAGGAAATTTGCTCTGCCAAATAAATTAATGTGCCTGCTGGCTCGTTATTCTGTTGTGCAATCTGCACGTACTTGAAAGTACGCAGCATCGTACACCACGGCGTACTTGCTTATGTGCCCCTTCACGTGATCCTTAAGGTACCTACGTACGGATGCACGTTGACCCCTTTTGTCATGTGCACGCTGGCGTTCCACCCTGCACTCGGTATGAGCATCGAAGCTGCAGTCAAGATCTGACGTAACAGATAATAGAATGTTGCTCAAGCTGTCATTTTTCCGTTCCCGGTTAAATGAAGATTATTGGGGCCTGTGTGCTCTGTACCTTTTTTTTTTTTACGTGAAAAAATTGCACATTCTTCTTTTTTGCAACACCCGCTGAGGGGAAGAACCTTATAAAACGCGTCTAACGCCGTCCGGGGGGGAAGCGGCCCACCATTCTACGTTCACATGGGAAGATAGGAGGCGCAGTCGGGATAAGCTGCGGGCCGAAGAGTCTTCGAAAGAGTCATCCAAAGATCGATCGAAGAGCGACACGAAGAGGCATCCAAATCCGAGTGTATCTTCCCAGTCTGGCAAGTGCCTATCACCCAGCAACTGTCCACACAGAGAAAAGTAACGCAACACAGAGGGAAGGGACCTCCAGACGGATCAGCTAGGAAGCATCGCGGTGAACGGCACCCCGGAGTGAACCATGAAGAGGAACGACTGACGAGAGGGGAATACATTTGAAAAAGGCACTCGCGAAGATTTTTGTAAAAGTTCATCCGCGCATAAGTAGGGTAACCCAGAGGAAATCTGCGCACATGTGTGAGTACACATGTATCAGTGCACATCTTTGAGTGAACATCTTTGAGGTTAGGACTCCAGTCTGTCAACCAACCGCTTTTTGTGCACCCGTCCTCTGCACACCACAGGACCCTCCGAAAAACGGACCGGTTGATGACACCCCACAGAAAACGTGCTTAGGCAACAGATTTTTTCTCCGTTAAAAAAAAAAAAATGAACGAAACAAAAAAAAGAGACCATGTAGTAATAAACGATTTGGAAGAAAAGGTGGAGAGTTTTAACAAAATGGACGAGTCAATAGAAAGGACACAAATTTACCATGATGATTTATGCGACAATGACATAAAGATATGTTTGCCGTCCAGAATAGGCTTTCTTCCAGCCATCAAATCCATGACGGATGGAGTAAAATGGGGATGGGGATTTACTAACACGCCAAGGGAATCGTCCAGATATTATATAAACGAAATATTATGTGGATGTATATTATGCCTTACTATGTTACCCGAGATGATATCCTTTTCAATGATTGCTAACATTCCGCCTTACCTTGGATTGCAAGGTGCTTCTTTCCTCTGTTTAATAACCTCCATTTTCGGGGGATCGCCTGCAGTCATCCACGGTGTGACGGGTGCCTTTGCATCTGTGTGCTCAAAGTATTTAGTTGAAAGTGAAAATGTGGATATCTTACCAGAAGGAATTGAACGGCTGTATGTGTGCATACTGATATGTTCTATGATGCTTTTTTTCTTTTCTCTTTTTCATATGTCTGCCTTGATTCAGTTAATTCCGACCCCCGTCTTTATTGGCTACTGTAACGGACTGTCAATCATATTTCTGAGGGCGCAGTTACACACGCTGAAGGACCCCCATACGCATGAGTACATTAAGGGGTACTATTTGCTTTTTTTCGTCATCATCTGTACCCTCGTCGTTATCATAGTGGAGCTTTGGAAGAAGATCCCAAAGGTGAGGAGAGGAGGTCATCTCCTTGCGTTCGTGCGTGCGTTTGATCCTGTGCGCGTTTTATCTTGTATCGGTTTTTCCGATACTCCCTTATCCATCTTTCACCGTCCCTTCACTATCCATTTTTCACCGCCCCTTCGCAGCTGGGCCACAAGATCCCGTCCACTCTAATAGCAATAACAGTCACCATATTCGTCGAATTTGTAATCCTGAGGAAATTCCTACACAATAATTTCGACTCTTTCAAGGACGTGAAATCCTACACAGTAGGTGACTTGTTTTCCTTCACGTCAGATAAAGCCAAGCCGACATTTTTATTTACCAATAAAGAGTTAAATTTTACCAAAGTGGTATTTGATATGGAGCTTATTAAGCAGGTGATGAACATGTTTGTGGTTTTGCTTCTGGAGGTTTTAATGGTCAGCGAAGTTATAAAAGACATGGGAGGAGCAGAATGTGATACGAATGAAACCGTTTTTTCGCTTTTTATTGGGAATCTTTTAGCAACCTTGGGAAGTGCTGTGGGGGGTAGTAGCTTGTTAGGCCTTTCTGTATTGAATTACAGAAATGGGGCAAGGGGAAAAGAGAGTGGAGTCGTAGCTTCCATCTTGATATATGGGATTCTGCTCTTTGGATACTCCCTACTAAATTATATTCCCCTTTCCTTTCTGTGTGGGATTATGATTACTGTGTTTATTCATTGTTTCAAATGGTTTTCCATCCCCATTGTGTTTTTTACGTTCTGCCCTGGGTACATAAGGAACTGCCACCCGTGCATGAGCAGGAAGATCTCCAGATGGGACGCCTTCATCATCGTCCTCGTCACGGTTCTATGCGTAAAGGGAAAAAGAAAAAAAAAAAAAAAAACACAAAAAAGAGTCGCAGAAATGATGAATGAGAGTGCCCAACTATGGAGGCCTTTTTGTGTGGATCCACTCCGCACACAATATCTTTTCCACATGCACTCATTTTTGGTGCTCCTATTGGCCTTGTCCAAATGGCACAGTTTTTTTCTTTTTGCCCCCTCACCCCTATGCATTATTGTTGCACCTCATTACTGTTTGCGCGCCCCCATTTTTACAGGTCTTCGTGAGTGTCCCCACCGGAGTTTTCGCGGGGATCATTTTATCCGCTCTGGTGTACGTATGGCAGAGCAAGTCGACATTTAAGGTTGAAATATTTTATGAAAAAGACACAGATACGAAGGTAAGACCCCCCGGAAAGTGCAGTTGGCTGCCATTCGTCACCTCGTACAGAACTGCACTAGAGCAGAAAAAGGAGGGAAGCAAAAATTTGTGCGTACACCACCGTGTGATGCCCACGTTGGTTCGCATTTCCCTCGTAACATCCCCCCCTTCACATTTGCCTTGTAACATTTCCTCCCCCCCGCTTAGTACTACGAAATCGAAGGTCACCTGTTTTACGCGTCCAAGAGGATGTTCACGAGGCTGTTTAGCTACGAGAAGGACAGCTCCACGGTGAACATTGTTCTTAAGGGAAAAAGCACCCTCTTTGACTACACCGCCATTGAGGCGCTGACGTCAGTGAAGCAACAGTATAATTTGAATAACCGGAACGTAACTATCCATGGCCTAAGCCATGAGTGCATTAAAAAAATAGCAAAAATGAACCACTTGTGCAAGCAAATCGACGTGGATTTGGTCAAAGTGGAGGCTCCAGTGGTGCCCCTCCTGTACAAGCCCTTGCGAACGATTCTGAAGGTACTCCCTGCAGTGATCGATCAGTAGTGATCGATAGCGGTGGCAACTGAAGCGAGTCACGCGAGTGATGCCGACTGCATGCCCATCACTGCGAAATCACGCACCGTTTTGTTGCTACCACTCACGACGGCGACGTCTCACCCCTCCGCCCCTGCAGAAGCAAAAAACCATAAGAAGAAGAATGTCATTCAAGAAGAAGAAGAAGAAAAAGGAAACAGAGAGCGACCCGTCCGCGGAGGAAGTGGAGCCATAAGACGGAATATGAAAATGCAGAAGTGTACCTATGTACCTATCAGCTGCGTAACCCCTGCCCGTTGCGCGTTTAAAAATATTCTCGCATTATTCACTCATGGTTCAGTTCCCCCGAGTGCATTTTTCCTCCTTTGGCAGTTTGGGCTCAACTGGTAAAACTGGGCCAAGCTCTTTCCCCAGTTCTCTACCCTAATCATTGAATTTTTTTTAATTTATTTTTTTTACTTATTTTTTTACTTATTTTTTTTACTTATTTTTTTTACTTATTTTTTTGTTCTATATGCACAAAAGCCACACCCCCTTCAACATCTAGTTTATGTATAATTCCGAGGAGAAGCACAGCATTGTGCGTGTTCGTGTGTGTGTATTCATTTGTGTACATATGTACACGTGCGTGGGTGTGTGTAGCTCTATTCGGTTTCTCTTTTCCGTGTCGTGTTTCTGCCTCTTTCCTTTCTCTCCTCCCCTGTGCGCACTTTTTTGAACCCTCCAATTTGTTTCCCACCTTCTTTCTTCCCCCTTATGAGCACCACACCGGCTAGCAGCTCGCCGCTTATCCTGTCCACCACGCGACTACCTCGACTATCCGAACTACGCCCCTTGTGTATGGCTTCTTATGCTTTTAAACGCTTTTTTTATGTACTCCAGCTTTTCACCATAATTTCTGTAAAGACAAAAGAAATTATGTACTCATATGAAGTTGTCACACAGGTACACCTACTGATGTATTTAGATATATGTGATGCGTGCAGTTTATGGACCCTTCCCAGTGTTTTTTTTTTTTTTTTTTCTTCCTTTTCCTTCCTTTCTTTTCATTATGAACTTTTTTAATATTTCAGTAAATTTTTTTAATGTTTGTTGTAAGATACCTAAGCTTCTTCCACTCGTGTTCGTACAGCAGGATGGGGTTCCTAGAAGGAGGCAGGGGGTAAGGGGAAGGTGACACGCTGAAGAAGTGGGCGTGCTTAAGTGGGCATCCTGACGTGATCGTGCCGACGTGAGGGTACCGACGCGGGAATCCACATTAACACGCTACACGCGCGTAACCATACCATCCCAAAAACTTGAGGTTCCGAATCCTGTAGGTTAAATGGTGCCGGTGGAATTTGTGCGGGTTGTCTTTCATTTTCCTGTTGATGCTCCTGTTGTGCACAAATTCGACATACGTGTTTTGGAACTCCGGTAAATGAACGATGGGGTAGATATGGACGAACTTCCTGGCTAGTTTGAACCTACGTGGATGGGGGGAAAAGTGAATGCATCGCACGGATGCACAGAAGGGATGCACAATAGGCATGCGGGCCATTCTACGGAGGAAAGAATTTCACGTTTCTGCGTGACTGCACTGGGGCGTAAGCGCTCCTTTGGTTACCCGCTCTCCTTCACAAAGAACGTGGCCTGCTTTGTAAAAATGGTCTCCCGTGGGTCCTTGCCTGTGAACGCGGTGGAATGGATCACATTGGTAGAGACAACATTCGTGGGGGTAACATTGGTGCGTGCCCTTTCTGCAGAGTTTTCTGCCCGTGTCGATTTCTTATTAGCTACGATTTCTCCTGTGCGTTTTAGCGTGTTACCTTCAACCCGCAGCTGCTTGACAAAATCGAAAAAGTGCGAATTGGGACTGTAGACGGTGTTGTATAGGAAGTTGTCCGATCGGATGATGAGGTCAACGAATTTGAGGCGGTACAAACTGACTGAGGCGATTGGCGCCGATGGGGCCGCATACATCTGCGAATTTTCCTTCGTGTTGAAATAAATCTGGTGGATGTTCCTAATGTTGTCATTGCAGATGGCAGCATTGGAGGAGTTGTTCCCACTGGCCTGTCCATCCAAGTCGTGGTTCGTGTCCAGCACGACATTATTATTGTAGGTGTATTTTTTATATGTGGGGTATTCCTCCTCCTTCCTAATGCCCATAAGTTCAGATTTTACGAACTCAATTAGCTGATTCACATTTTTGTAGCTCTGATAGTTACAAAGAAATAGGTTGTATAGGACTTTAATTACTGTGTGCAAATTTTTCTTCTCCTTCTTTTGATAATTATCTCTGAGCCTTTCTAGAAGCATGTGGATGTCTGCAATTTCGCAGTTGAGGCGGGAACAAGATTTAATAATAGTGACTAAATAATTCGACGTGTCCTCCTCCATTTGGTTACTCCTTTTAACAATCTCGTTTATGCATCTGGAAAATACCTTTTGATTAATCCACTTTTTATCCTTAAAGGATGAGATCAACTTGACCGTTTCGACGAGTTCCTCCAGGGTGTATTCGTCTATAAGATTATTTAACTCGGAATAAATGTAATTATAAATAACTTTGTCGTGATCTACATTGAGGTGGAGGAGGTACTTAAGTGTTAGGAGCAGCGACGTGTCTACGTCATTATGTTGATTTGTAACTTGGCTCCTTCCTTCCTTTTTCTGCTCTGTGTTGAGTAGCTGCACATAGGACAGCACCACCATTTTTAAAGCCTCCCTCTTCAGGGGAACTCTTCTTGACAGCAAAATGCTGTATGTAAGAAGAATTTTAAAATCTTTTTTTTTTAAGCTAGCCAAAATGTCATCCGTAAATAAACTACGTGCACATTCTTTGATTTCCTGTTTGTAATTTTTGTAAGATGATATGCAAATTTGTTTCTCCTTTTTATACTTTTCAATACACTGGATGAGGTTTCTAGACATTTTTTCAAACTTCTCCACTTCACTGTGTATGCTTCTTATTGCATACATGATTCTGTTTAACGTGACCCCTTTTCTGTAATACCCTACAGTCAATTTGATCCTGTTCGCCCACATGGTTATTTGCATCTTTTTAGCATGCCCCTAAGGGGGGCAGGTCTGGGGGGGGAGATTTACAACTGGGCTGTGCTTTAGAATTACCAAGCGGATTGACTACACTTCTAACATTGGTGTACGTATGGACCTTTGTAGGTATGAACATATTTGGCAAAAAATCAGAGTGGCCAAGCCATCGCTCCAATTTTGCCCTGTCAAAAGGGGGACATTCCGCGCGGCTCATTTTGTGTTCCTTTCACCGAATCGGTTTACATCACTCCGTTGCGCCGTTCCCATAGGCGCTTTTCGCGAAGGGGGAGAAATCCACATCGGGCGAAGTACTACCCCGGGTTAGCCATTTACGAAGAGGGGAAGAACAAGCATTGGCAAACGCATCTTCGAAGGAGGGTAGATGTTTTGCACGCCGTTTCTTCACCCCATTTTTGCATTCCATTTTTGCACTCCATTCTTCCATGCCGCTTCCCCAGTTGGCTCCCAACCTGGGGGGACATAAAACGGCGAGCAGGTGGCAACACGCACGCATGCACCTAAGCGAATCGTATTGCAATCGCTCCAAGTCGAACTTCACTGTGCGGATGGTATCCTGTCCCAAAAGGGAAATTTCTGGGGGAGCCACACAAGATATGCCGCATACCTACCATGGACAATCCTCCCCAGCGAAGTTCCCCAATAATGAAGAAACATAAATAAAAAATGAAGAGTGAAAAATTGTAAGGTGAAAGAAAAGGGGAGAAGTGTACATAAAGGAGAGTTCCTCCTACTGGAGGCCGGTTCTCATTAGGAAGATAGAAGCGTGCTTCTTAAAAGCGAAGGATGGAAACACGCAACGAAACGTTTAAAGAGGGGTGACGTCTAGGAAACCACATGCGAATGGGGGACATAGTGGGGGAGCCCCACTCGGTAGGCACATGCTGGGTAGTTTTGCCAAGGCACAAATGAAGAAGTCAGGGAGATGAGAAGAGCAAACGCGGAAAATGGGTACACAAGGGGGAAGAAGAAAGAAGAAAAAAAAAAAAGCAACGTTGTGAGCATAGCATCAGGAGCCACAAATTGGTGCGCCTGCGCGCCACGTGTCCATACCTCTGATCTGTTCATATGTATGCGGGGGCGTGTCAGAAGTACGCTTCCCTTTGTGTGTCCATTTGGACGGCTTTTCCCTGGCTACCGCTCGGCCATCGGTGCGAAAGCGGAGCGCTGGGAACACGAAAAAAAGGCAAAAGAGGCAAAATGGGATAAAAAAAAGGCAAAAGGGGCAAACAACCCAAAAAAGTGTAGAAAAAGGCGCAAAAATTCGCCTCTCCCACACAAATCACACCATATTCTTCAACACGTTGATCTTCTTGTAATGCTCGATGGAGAGGCTGTCGGGATATGACATGAGGTAGTACTCCCCATCCACCTGAAAGTAAACATTACACACTTGTTCTTTAAAAAGTATTTTCCACGGGCCAACTCCCTGGTGCACCCTAAAGGCCCTACCCCTGAGGGTGAATTCCAACCCTAGGTCTACCCCTGACTGATAAATGACAAACTCCAGGACACCATCCCCCACCTCCTGTTTCGATTTTTTTAAATCTCGATAGACGGTTTTTTCCTCCGAAGGCAAATCCTTTGGTAACTTTAACCCAATTTTATGCGTATAATTCCATATGTCATTTCCAGAGGAGTACGAAGGAATGTTCACGCATATGATGCTCATTGCTTTTTTCAGTAGAGGGGCGGGAAGAGCTGTGCTGTCATTACGATTAGTGGTAAAAATAACGTCATCGTAATTTTTGCCAGTAACCATTTTGTCAATAATTAAATTAACAGGAATGTTTTTTTTGAAAATAATTTTTTTAAATCCCTCAACGACGTAAATGAGCTTATTAACAAAAGCACTCTTCTGTCTGTGCCTTTCAAACCCTCTGCCTATCCTTGAATCTATGCCTATACTGAAGTAATTGCTCATGCACATTTTCAGAACCTTGACATTCTGTTCATTCTCAGTTAACGTTTCCTTCTTTTTCGTGCTCGAGCTGATTTTATTAAAATACCCATTTTCCTTCAACACCACATGTACGTTCCAATAATCATGCTTGTCAATTTTGGATTTAAACGTTTGATCTACTATTTTTTTTAAAATATCAAATAAATAGGTGTAATTAAAAAAGCCATCCATTTTTTTCCACCCAAACGCTTTGGCAAAATCGTTGCCCGTTCCGAATGGAATTACTCCTACGGCAATTTTATCGTCCTTAATGTCATACTGTTCTGCTTCTTTTAGAAACCAATTTAGCGTTCCATCTCCTCCTGCCACTAGGACGTAGGCAAATATGTTTTCATCCTCCCCAGCTGTTCCCTCACTGTCATCACTACCTGTTTTTTGCGAGTTCTTTCCCTTTTTTGTGCCACTGAGGTGGTGATCTTCTCCTTTGGTCTTCCCACCACTTCCTGTGCTGTTACTTGGCTCATTTGTTCCGTTCTCACTGGAGTTATGACTCGGGTTGCGGTTCGGCGAGCCGCTTTTCCCCTCCACGGAGAGGGTACTTTTGCTAACAAGACCCCTCGAATTGGGGGTCACGGACTCACTTTTAATTTCATCCTGACGTGGACTGTTCGTCACAGAACTGAGGTGCAGAAAGCCGGGCTTTTTCCCCGGCTCGCCCTCCAAGATGTTGTAAATGGAGAAATGACACTTGTGCGGCTTGTGGAATACTATATCGTTGACTCCAAACTGGGAGGGGGGGTGAAGAGGTGAAGTGGTGACGCGGTGAAGATGCACACATGAAGATACACACGGGAGGATACACATCCGAGGGATACGCACCAGGGCCCACGTGTACGTACACGCGTTGCTGCAGGTGCGCATCCCGCAGTCGGGTCTTACGTCGATGAACATAGATGCTCTATTCCCCCCCGAAGTAGGATTGACAAACAGGAAAATATACTTCATCTTTTGGTTGCTCCAACATTAGCCAATAAGACGTTGATAAATTTTTTTTTTTTTTTTTTTTTTGGACTATCTATGTCCAGTGGAGAAGAAAATATTCAAAATGGGGAAGGGCAACAAGGGTGTCAAAGGGGGCAACTCATGGTTTCGTTATCGTTAACGCTTTTGGTTTTCCTTTTGCTTTTCCCTTTGCCTTTCCCTTTGCTTTTACGCTCGCCTCGTTTCAGTCGTAAGTATGGGTTTCAGGCGGGCTTTCGTTCCCCTTTCTGTGACGCCATATCTCGGAGAGTTACCCAACGGGCATGCAGCTTTAGCGCTGGGCCAAAGGGAAACTTAAAAAGCCTTCAAACGCTCGCGGGGCGGATGCACACTGATTTGGTCCCCGTATGTGCAGTCATCTTAAAAAAAAATACGCCAAAGTAAACAATGTTCTTTACTAAATGCTAGCCAGAAAAATTAAAAAAAAAAAGCGCCTTAGAAAGGGGAGGAGGGTAAAGTGCATGTGCAACGGGTGTTCGTGCAGGGATATAAATAAATTTACATTATCCCCTGCCACATTGATGAATACAAATTCTCGCAGATGGCCTATCCGCTCAGTATACAAATGTCAATCGAGAAAACAAATACGCCCATAAATATGCTGAATGCACACATATGGGCGATGTATGTGCGTAATTTTGCGATGATATGATATTCGTTAATTTACACAAAAAGGAAAAAAAAAAATAATAAAATGAACAAATGCGAATAGACAGTGAGTTTTACTTCACGTTTTACGTGTAAAAAAAAAAAAAAAAAAATTGCATATTCGTAAATTGTACCAAATTGAAAAAAGAAAAAGATGGAGACGCTTTTTTTTTTTTTTTTCTTACTCGACATAGCAGAAATGGCAGTCCGTAATTTTAGGGATGGTAAAATGTAGCACCAAGGTGCAACAAACAGGCGAAATAAAAGTAAAAGTAAAAACAAAAAGAATAGGAAAAAACTAAACTGAACAAAAAGAAGAAGAAAAAACTAAACTGAGCAAAAAGAAGAAGAGAAAACTAAATTGAATAAAAAGAAGAGGAAAAAACTAATCTGAACAAAAACAACTGAACGAAAACAAAACTGAAACGTCTGCGCTAAAACGTAAGTGGAAAAACAAAACAGTTTCACTAGACGGTCGGGAACTACGTGAGGGGGTGCCAACCCGCTTGGCCATTCTGCTTGGTTATTCCGTTCGGCCATTCCGTTTGGTCATTCCGCTTGCCCATTCCGCTTGCCCATTCCGCTTGCCCATGTGTAGAGTCCCACCTTTTTCCAGCACCATCATACCACGGAAAATAGGGGCTCCTATTTGGGTACCCACACACGTGCGGCCACTCGGGGATGTGCAGAATGTATGCTCACATTTGATTTAGCCATTTCAGGGTGTTCCTTTAATCGTTTGTCCTTCTCCTCCTTTTCCCATTTGCCCATTCTTGACCCGCACCACTTATCAATTAGGAAACTCCTCGACTAGTGATACATCCCGGCGGGGGAAGAATCAAACTTGGAGAAGTTATGCTTGTCGACGGAATTGTAAAAAGAACCGTCGCTACTGGATTCAAAAACGGTGTTGATCTTGTCTTTCCCTACATCATCATAATCTTCATATATGTCTGAGCAGGCATTTGCTACATCTAAAAACGTGTAATTCGTGGGTTCCGTGGCGGCTTTCTTCATGTAATTCTTCATTTCGGTGTACCCACTGTGCATGTCGTTGTTGTAAATGAAAAATAAACACACAGAGAGGAAAAAAAGAAAGACGAATAGAAATAAAAATACTACTGTGTCACAGAAAAACCAGAAAATGCATGGGAAGACGGACAGAACCATTCCAGACATAACTAGACTTGTGCTCAGTTTCCAGAGGGCATTCTGGAAAAAAAGGAAGGTTCATTTTTTCGTTACTTCTAAATGGGATTAAGCGGTGTGGGGGCATGCATCGTTCGGATGCGTTTGGGGATTTTTTTTTTTTTACTTTATTTTTTTTTCTTTACGTCTGCGCAAAGGCTTCTAACTTACCCTCGAGTAGTCTAGAAGAGAAAATATCTGAAAGGACACCATCGCGTAGGTAATCAGCCTTATCAACCACAGCGACTTGATGTTGCCGTAATTCCTTTGGATAAAATCTTTGGTCTGGTTAATCATTATTTTGTTATCCTCGGAAAGTAGGACAACTTTCTGCTTCATGATGTCAACTCCTTCAATTTCAAATATCGTATTTAGCAGCCTAGACCGCTGAACTCCGATGATCGTCGCGTGCGTAGACGCGCTTCCGTAAAAGGACACGCGCACATCGCCGACCTACAAAAGGGGGGAAAGGGCAAGGGCGCAAAAAGGGGTGCGAATGTGCATATGTATATATAGGGGCACAATTCACGTGTATCCTCCTGCCTTTTTCACGTGGGCTGGGGAAAGCTTCCTCAACGGGCTAAATTTGAGTAAAGCGTTCTCCCCATCAGCGGTTCCCCCATAGGATCCCCTCGCAAAATTGATACTGATGCGGAACGCCCCTCCTTCTCTCACCCTCTCTACAAAATCCCGTTTACACGTGATGCATTTATTTCTTATTAAAACTGCGCGTCACGAAAACGCCTCAAATGGGTTATACTTGTGGGTTCAGAGGATCTCCAGTGTACAAATAATTATCATAAACGTTCGTGTTTAAGTGGTCGAGGGTGAAAGGAGGTTTTATTTCCGACTCGGTGAACCAGCCGTCATCCACTAAGTCCAACTTTTTTTTCTTTTGAAAATTTAT